CTACACATTTTATTGTTGAACTAGAACTGTATAAACCATATAATTGGTTCAGAATGTGGCATTTAGAGAGGTGAAGAAAAGTGTCTCGGTTAGTTCAGGTAGCATGAAACCAAAATTTGTTGAAAGTGTAGGTTTCGAAAGCTCACTTTCGCTATTCCGCCTACTCTTGTATGCATTCCGCTAACGGTTGCAGCGAGAGAGAATCTAATCTTGTTAAAATTCCGTCGAAATGATTTGAAACGACACGAGCAAGTTGCATGTGAATTGTTGAAATGCATCGTCATTAGACTGAATGAAAAGTTTCGTATGGATGAGAACACGTTTGCATAGTAGTTGTTGTGAGTAGTCTATGAAAGAAAGCATCTAACCGTGGTCAGTTCAGAGTCCGTTGTTGCAACAAGACGGTCCAGTTGAAAGTGTACATTCGTCAATGATCGAATTGCTGAGCAGTGCTGATATTGCACAACAGCTATCAATTTTCCACATGCAGTTGTTTGAGGCGACCGATGAAATAGAACTCATCACTCAGGTGTGTGATAAGCAAGTTTTCGTATTGTGGAAGTGCTGTTTAGAACTAGAAATATAATACCAATTAAACATTTCCATAGGGATTGTCATTGTATGATGAAATTGTTGTTTTTCGGTACTTTTCTTATTTGTCGGATTTTACAAACATATTGTTGGATGAAACAAGAAGTGTAGTGAATTGCTTCAAATTAGGTGTTTGGTCGAGACCAATTCCCCGGTCGAATCCCTTCTAATCTGGATCTGTTAATGCGACGATTCAATGAGGTACAATTTTGGACAACCACCGAGGTTTTGCTGGCGCATGGAGCATCGAAACGAGTCGCTATGCTAAAGAAATTCATCAAAATTGCTGCACAGTTAGTGATGAAGCTGATTTTTGTTATGTGATCTGCAACTTTGTGGTCGACGTTCGAATAGTCAAATATTCTAAAACAAAACCTTTCATTGCCTTTTCACTTTTGCTTTTTTGAGATCTGATTCCTCGACACTA